TGTTCATAAACTTATCTTTGACTTTGTATTGCTAATAATACATTGTTCATACACTTATCTTTGATTTCGTATTACTGATAATACAAATATTATATCTTATATTTGACTTTGAAGATTTAAAGATATTTTTAATACGTATATTAATTTTGACATTGAGATTTTGAGAATTCTCTTTAGCAATCCAGTTATTATATTAAAAGAACACAACTGTTATCAATCTTTAAGTAGTTTTGTCACTAGTACTTTTAGTACTTATTCACATTCAGTTTAATAGTCATAAAGTATTATTATTAATACTTTAAATTGTTGTTAAGATATTGAAAGTTTCTTTTGAATATTCCTTAATTTTTATAAATACCTTTGAGTATTTCAAAAATTCCATCAAAATGATAACAATATGTAATGCACCAAATTTTTCAAGTACAAAGAACATTACAAATACTAATCATTAATATTTTTTATAGATTAATAGAGCTTCTATATCAGATATTGTATATTTATAAACTTTCACATGACAAATATAATTAGTTATTTTATAATATATATCTCAATATTTAATAATTTAATTTTTGATGTCTATTAATCTAATTTGAACAAAAATATTACTATTCAATTCATCTCAACTAGACAAATCGAATAGTAGTATTTTTGTTCAAATTGGATGATTGAACATTAAAATATTGTATCTTAAAGTAGCAGCTTCATTTTTTTTTGATATTAACAAAAATTAATTAGCAATCAATTTAAAATATAATATCTTGATCTCTAATAATTTAATTTGAACAAAAATAATATTATTCAATTTTTCTAGTCAATACAAATTGGATCACTGGAGATCAAAATATTATGTACATTCTAAATTAATCAATTCATTTTTTTGGCAATTATTTTTTATGAAAAATTGATTGCCAAATATGAATTGGTTACTTTAGAACATAATATCTCAACATTTAGTGATTAAATTTGAGTAAAAATATCACCATTTGCTTTGTCTAAATTAGACAAATCAAATAATGATATTTTACTCAAATTTAATTACTAAATATTGAGATATTATATCATAAAGTGACTGATTTATTGTATTTGGACTAGAAATGGCACAGCAAGTATGTGATGCTTATTTGTCACCCGTCGCAACATGTTGCAACTTCAAAATTTTATAAGTTGCAACTAGTTGCAACTAGATGATGCTTTATTTGTCACCACATTGTAACAGTTACCGCACCATCTTTAATTTGGACATAAAGTATATAAATATACAATATTCAATATAAAAGCTCTACCAATCTATAAAAAAGTATCAACAATCAGCATTTGTAATGTTCTTTGTGCTCAGAAAAATTTAATGCATTATACATGATTTACAGAAAGTTAGGGGGATCAGATACTTTTGTCACAACTGTATATCTTATTAATTTTTCTTTAATTTAATTTATCTTTTTTCTCTTTAACTCTCCCACTTGTTCCTATTTTTACCTTTGATATTAAGTTAGTTTGTGTACAAGCTACCACAGGAGATCTTTAGAACCTTTAGTGAATTCCATTAATTGTAAATCATTCAATTTTTGTTCTTTCACTGTTAAGTTACTTTGTTAATTCATTAATTCTAACAATTCTTGAATTAATGAGAACAGAGATCAATGAATGGTTTGCATGTGTTTATTTTAATCAATCAATCAATCAATAATAATAAGTGTTAAATTACCTCATTAAGAGAGATTTTTTTCACTGATATGTTGATACTATCCAATAATTCTTCCCTCTTTCTTTTAGCGCGAAAAATGGTTCTGTAGCAACCAATCTCTGAAATAATTCTCACGGATCCATTCCAATACCAATATCCGATTCCATGCATTAATTTGGGTGTTTTGAATAAAGTAATCAATTTCCGCATTGTCATATATCCACGTGGAAAAGCTTTTTTGAAATGAGTAACGTTGCAGGATCACCACTAATGCGTGTTCTTACTTGGTTACACTCTGGACATCGATCGTATTTCGAAGTCGTTTTTCTTTCGTCTCGAATAATAAATACCAGGTGTCAAACATCATAAATGAAACTTATGGGCAATCTCTTCATTTATGTGATATGACTATATTTAATCAAGTTACAGTGATAATAAAGTAGCATAAAAAGAGACGAGTGTAAGCTTCTACCTCTTTCTTTTGAATGCATAAATTATCTATGCAAACATACCACTAACTTCTTCCCTCGAACCAATATTTATTTCGATCAGATAAGATCGCGTCAACTGATAAAGTTGAGCTTGACATCGAGGAAACTAATAATGACAAACTTGATGTTTGCGTCGTTCATTAGATAATGCGAACTTATATCTATCGATTTCACAGTTGTAGTAAACAGAAAATCTGAGGCATCATCTGATAAAAGAAATTGTGATATTTCAGTACAATATAAATGAATGAATTAACTATTTGTGTATTAGAAAGTGAAAAATTTCAACGATTTAGAAAATAACATTATTGTTCTTAACGAAAAAAATATCTGTCATGATCTTCAATGTTGATCCTTATCGTTATTGCAAAAAAACACAAAAGTCTCACGAAGATCCCTCAACGCCATCTCCTCCAGGCTTTTGCGTAGCGTGAAGGTGGGTTGCG